AAATCTGGGGAATTCTGAGAGTTGAAGTCCACACATCTTAAAGTTGCTCAGGTTGAGAAACCCTGTTCTAACACCAACATTCAAAGGGACTCTTTTTATCCTACTTCTTCAATGTCCAACACCTACAAATCCATGACCTGAATCCTCCCTTAAATGCCAGAAAGCAGTGCTGGGTGTTTTGCTCATGCCAGGAAGGAGACATCATTGAACCATTGTCCTGTGGCCCAGGTGAAAACACGACCCTAGGCTGAAAAGGGCTACCCATCCCTGATCTGGGTGACACCACAGTTTAGTGGTACCTCAAATGCTTTGCTTGCCTGCAGACCCAGCTGTGGTTCCAGCTACTCCAACTGGGGAGAAGAGGATTGGGGAGGGCGAATGCAATGAGAATACCTCCCATCCTGAGATCTTAGGAAGTCGTTGCCAATTGGAATAAGTTCATTAACGTGCTTTGTTTCCTGGGAGCTTCCTGGAGTAGTTCCTGTGTTCTTGGACTAGCCAGAAGGCTTTTTCTCCAACCATGTCTGTCCCACCCAACCAAGTCAGATTAGGGTGATGCAGCAGGGAGGGCCTTCAGCTGCTTTTTGCTTCCAACACCTCCCCCCCTCTCCCATTTCAACAGTGTTACAGGAGCAGGGCGAAAAGGAAGAAAGGTCCGTTCTTCATTTCTGCTAATGGAGAAAAACAGGGAGAGGTTAAATCCCGTTTCTGGCAGTCAGTCTACAGAGGCAGAGGCCTTCCAAACCACATTCGCAGCCTATAAACTCCCAGGATACAAAACTGGCACCCAAATGCCTGTTTTAAAATGGTATTTAGAGTTTATTAAGAACTCATGAGAGCAGAGCAAAGGCGTGCCTGGTAATTAGCCTTGCAGAAAAGCATTAGGATTCAAGGGGGAAGGGTGACCCAAGGAGCAATTAGGCCTGTGTAAGATGAAGATTAAGTCTAAGAGGAAAACTAATATTGAAAGAAACCTAGCAAGACTTGTCTTGAGCATGTACAAAGTCAAATCAAACCCTGATGCCAGTTTCCTGCTACCTTCCCTCAACTACAAGTCTGTTTGTTTAGGTTCCTTTCTGGGATCCTGGAAGATTTTACTCTACAACCGATGCTCCTTCCTTTCCTTCCCCATAGCCAGGTGCTCCTCTACAGGGAAAGAACAAAAGCCTCCAGCAACCTTCTTCCTTGCTATTTAGCCTCAGGAGGAGAAAGAATTATTCTCCAGATTTGCCTTATTAGAGGGCAATTGTGGGGTGAGCTCCTGATCTCATCAGGAGCTCTAAAAGTCTGCCTTGCTAGAAGCACCCATTACTCTAACCCTCCCCAGTTTGATACCCTCCAAATATGTTGGGGCTGCAATGCCCAGAATTCCTTGCCAGTCAGGGTGGTTGGGGAAGCCCCTAATTTTCCAAGCCTGGGTTAGGCATTGCACCAGTGTGCCACAGACTGACAGGCCTCGCACGACACGCTTAACCAGATCAGGTAAGGACTTGGCAGCTGGCCTTGTCCTACATGCCCAGCTTGCTTAGTCTTAACCTTGATTGGTTTTGTGGTGACTTAACATGTTGGATGAACCCAGCCAGGTGGGAGCATTGATAATGCAGTGACTTGAGTGCTAAGCTAATTCAGAAAGCCCCTGAAGGGTGTTGTTGTGTGAAGCAGTCACTGACCTCTCAAACCAAGATGGTTCATCTCTCTTACAGAGAGCCATTGTACCATTTCCCATAGAAAAAGCTGGCATCTCTTGCTTCCATTGAATGAGGAATTTAAATGCTCCTTCAGCATCTATGTTAGCAGTGGCTGGTCTGCTTATATAGAGCGCTGCTCAGCTGTGCCCTGAACCAGAGACAATTGGGCGTTGCAGGGTAGGATAGATATCCAAGAACATAGGGCTGCGATGCTTTTGGTACCCATGCTAGGGGAGCTGCCTGATAAAAAGCTGATCTGCTCAAGCACCTTGTAGTCCGTTTAACCCCGAGATGCAGCGTGGATTTGACATCCTGGAGTTGTTGAACGCTCTTTTCCCCGTCCTAAGGGGACTGTTCCAGCCTCCCGCTACAGGCTGTTCTGGTTAGCTGGTGAGTCATGGAGGGATGAAGGGCGTTCGGTCCCACCTGTCCTAGGGAAGGGGGGGCCTTCAGCAGTAAAGTGCGGGGGTGTTCCCCAGCTCGGCTGGGTAGGCTGGCTGCACCAGCAGAAGCTGCGTAGCGGGCAAAGGGAGGGAAAGTTCCAGCCAAGCCGAATGCTGGCGCCTGAGATCCTGCGGCCGCAGCGTTTGCATGCTGATCACGCCAGCCCTGGCCATAAGTGCCTGTGACTTTGGATAAAGCCAAGCGAGGAAATTGATGTTCTTTTCCATCCTATTAGTAGGAGTTTAGTTCCAGAGAGGAGAAAATGATGATTAAAAGGGTCAGTCCACTCAGCTGCAAACAAGCCGTACCTTGGACAACGTGTCTGGGTCAGATCTTGGCTTGGGATTATTCAGCTGGGGGTGGCGGGGGGATGGGAAGCTGTGCAAATTGCACATTGACCAAGGGCGAAAGGGGAGTGTCTGTACCGGCACACGGGCCCCAGGAAGTCAAGGGGAATCTCATTACAAGAAGGGTCTGAAGGGCTTGTGTTTCGAATTAGCGTGACTCTGTCAGCTGGCATGGGGAAGACCCTTGCTTGATGCCCCGGGGCAGGACGGGCCAAGGCTCTGATATGATCAAAGGCCACGTTCTCTCCTCCAGAATTGGTACTTTCAGACATGGGGAGGTGGAGGTTTCTCGGAGAAAAGAACAATACTGCCACATAACATCAAGGGCCCCTTTTCTATTTCCAAATACAAGCCAAACATGAAGGTGACCAGTTTCCCTGTAATTTCCCAGCATGAGATGTTTGACAGCCCAGCTACCCATCTTAGGGGATGATGATGACTGTGACAGTTTATTGTTGCATGTTAATGACCAAAGTTCTCTGAGAAGATTACAACATTCTTTAAACATTCCAAGTCCTGTAAACATTAAAAAAAGCAATAAAACGATAGTGCGATAAAAAGTCGTATGGGGAGAGGTAAAAAAACCACTCTTCTGAGATAGCGCAGGCCATTCAGAAAGTGAACAGAAAGCTGGATACGGGAATCGGAGTGTGTTAGATGCTAGTGGTCAGCTGTGACTCCTGGGGATGGTGCAGACCCATGTTCTCTGTCGGGACAGAGTGGTGTGTTTCTGGACTTCCAACTAAGCTCAGATCATTCCCCGCCCCAATCCATCTTGGTGACAATGAAGTTTTGTCACCAGGGGGCAAGGGAGATGGCGGAGGAAATGGCACCAGGCAGGAAAGAGTCAAACATTGAATGGGTGGAGCAGGGTGGCCTATTGGAAGGCATCTGTCTCCCTGACATTCATCCTGAATTTAACTCACAGGTATATTACAGGCCTACTTCCTTCAATCCACCTCCTCACTACTTCATCCCCTTGTTCTGGTTTTGGGGATGCCATTGCTTTCCCCGTTCACCTGAGGTCAGCTGCTTTTGCAGACTCCAAAAAGGAAGCTTTTCCGGTCCGTGGCATCCCACGTCATCCTTCCCTTCCCTTGAGAGGCTGCTGAACACTTCGCTTTCTGTGGAGAGTTCCCAAAGCAACAGGACGTGCTGAAACTGCTACCAGCTTGGAGGGGAAGAATGGGTGGGTATCGGGGTATGAGAGGTGTTGAGGCAGTTCCTGCCCCATGGAGTTGATAGACCTGGCAAGAAAGAATTCAGAAGTGGTGAATTAAGTCTGAAAAAAACAGCCCTGAGCTCAAATTTCCCCAAGTTCTAGCTTGGCAATGCCATTATTCTTACCTTTTCTGCAAAAAATCAAGGGTGCCATTGTTAGCCATCATCTTGGCCTTCACACCTCTTGTATGTTGGCATGAGTGTGCATTATACTAAGCAGCAGTCTGGCCTCTGGACCTCTCTTGCTTGCCCCCAGCAAGGCAACCAGCACCCCTTGACAGCTTCAGAGGAAGGTGATCTGGCAAGGAGGGCTGTGCTGGGCGAAGCCTTCAGCTGGGGCAAATCTGTTCATCTTTCAGGTGCACATACTCGTTCTCCATTTTGGTTCTCTGAAGGTGAGGTGGCTCTCAGCACTTCCGCTGCTCATCTGATGTACTGGATTCGGCCCTTGAGGCTGGGACAGATGAGAGAAGAATTGTAAAACAACACAAGTAGGAGATTCCAAATGACAGTGCAGGGAACAGCTGAGGGGTGTGGGAAGAAAACAGGAGAGATGTTATGTGCCGAAACTGGTGAATTTGAGAGTACTCAAATCCAGCCTGGGCCTGAGTTCTGTGTAACTGTGTCTGTGTTTTCTCCCAGGTCACCCGAGTCTTGCAACCCGGAGGAAGGTTCATCTCCATCACATTTGCCCAGCCGCATTTCCGCAAGCGCCACTATGCCCAGCGTGCCTACAACTGGTCCATCCGACACACCAGTTATGGAAGTGACTTCCACTATTTCCTCTACGTGATGAAGAAAGATGGGGTGTTATCCTCCTCCGACTTGGCCCTGGGACAGAGCCTCCATCGGCAGCCCTCGCCCCCCAGCCCCGTGTGCACCCTCCAAGAGCCGGACCGTGAGAATTATCTTTTCAACATTCAACTCTGATCTCCAGGGAAAGAATACCTTGAGGGAAGGAGCGGCTTGGGGGACAAAGACCTAATTTGCCCTCTGCTCGAAGGCCCGTGCCAAGATACCTCTAGGTCACCTGGGGTAATTCCCTGCATTTTTAATACAATTTTTTAAAAATCAAGCCTCCTCTGCAGTTGGCAAGGGGGGCCCGTTCCCAGGGGAATTGGATGGGAACGCTTTCTGCTGCCAACTTGGTTGCAGAAAATAATTTTTCTTCCCTTCCACCCCACCAAGCTCGTTCTTTTGCTCACATCGTAGAATTGTGAACTGGTTTGTGGAAAGCAGAGAAGGGAGGTGTGAGAACCTGAGGACTCTGTTTAATCTTTCCACTGTGCTCTGAATTCTTAACTCTTTCCGAGGCTTTTCTGAGACACCTCTGTTTTAGCAGACTTCCTGGAAATTAGGAGCGAGGACGCCATCTGGATCTCCAACAAGAGACCATCTCAGAGGGTTGGTGACCCAACTCCTCAACACTGCTCTCTGGTTCTTCCCCAGATTTCCCATGGGGGAGGAAGCCTCAACTTGCCTACCAGGCACGTGTGAACACTGCCTAGAACAGTGTTGTCCAAACTTGGCCACTTTAAGAGGAGTGGACTTCAACTCCCAGAATTCCCC